TGAGATGTTCCAAGTTTCACAAAGATTACTGATTGTTTTCTCTTGTGTCCTTGTCCTTTCAATTACACTTTATCTTTTTTTTTACAATTTTTTCTGTCTTCTTCCAGTGGTAGACACTACCTAGGTAACATTTATTGAGTCAATACTGGCTATTAAAAAAGATCTCCAAGAATTTGTTAGCCCTTGCAGTAAGGCTACCCCTGCACTGCAAGGATTAACTGCTCATTTGTGTCTAAATTAGAAAAAACTAAGATATACTCACCGAAACCTCTGAGCTGGCTTCTTCTTAGACCAGTCCTCATCCCCTGCTCTACAGCAGTTTAAGGTTCGGCAAATTACCGTGTTCTATACACTCTGCATAGTCGTGAGGACGCTGAGGAACATTCAAATCTGCTGTGGAGGAGGAGACAGGCTGGACGGAGCGCTATGACAACTGGTTTCAGGTGAGTAAATCTTTGCTATTATAACACCTAGACACAAATGAGCAATTAACCCTTGCAGTGTGGGGTAGCCCCACCACAAAGGTTAATGAAGCATATTGCTAGAATATGCGTCATTAAGGTGTTGTTTTCCATCTTGGATTGATGTGAAATTGATGTACTGTATATCTGATTTTTGCATAAATAAAAATGTATCTGATGTTCACATAATTAAAGGAGAACTATAAGGTGAGTGAAAATCACTCATCCTCATAGTTCGAGTGACAATGAAACTGTTACACGTCGGATCTGTCACTCACGCAGCTGGGTGGATCTCGACAGTAATGTTGGGATCCATATGGGATCCATACCGGCTGTGGCGGTCTCCGTATACCATGAGCTGTAGCTCGCAATATACTGAGCTTTGGGTCACGTGAGGATGCTAGTAGGATGCTAGTAGATGTTCTCTTTTAAATACTTAATATTTTTTTCCAAAACATTGGATTTTGGACTTCTTGAAGACTGCTAAGTTAGCCTTGCCTGTGCATATGTCTCTACTAGGCAGATGTCTATTCGGGCCTATTCAAATCATGAAAAGAAACAATGTTGTACCTTCATTCTTGTTTCAAGGTTCTCCCCAAATGCTTATTGCATCTAAAAATGTATATATCTAAAAAAGTTTTAAAAAAATGGCAGTCGTTTAATTGCAAAAGAAACATACTATATCTCTTCTGCTATTAAGGTCTTGTACATAACTGATCGCTTTTTTATTGGCAAAGTACAATGAGCTGTGCATGTGCAGCTAAGTGTATCATTTCCACATATGCTGGGAAGAATGAACTCCCATGCATTCACTAGAGTTACATCATCTTGGCAGGCCAAAGATCCTAACCCCAGAAGAAGACTTGGTGAAGATGTCAGCACTGGTGAGGGATGTCATATCGCTGGGGAGGAAGTGAGTATTAGTTTTGCTTACAGAGAGACAATCATCTCACTCATTCCTCACCCCTCTGCTCCACCATCTTTTATCTGCGCTAGGTCGTCGCGCTTCTTCCTCCTTTTGTTTCCTCTTTAGCACAAATGTCGGACACCCTGGTCCGCACACACCAGGAGCAGCACACCAGCATTGAAACCAATCCAACCTCTCCGAAGAGTGCTCACCAACTCGACCTGTCCTTCACAAGTTTCACACATTAGTTTTGCTTACAGGTGTATCTATAGCTCAGTTTTGCACATTTAGAACCCCCATCAGGTTTTTATTGCTAAAACAGAAATTACCATCATTCTTTAAACACAATGAGGGGAATTTATCAAAACTGGAGCAGACAGAATCTGGAGTAGTTTGTTCAGTTAAAGTGACATTAAAGGATAAACCCCCCCCCCCCATGTT